TAAGAAGAGGATTTCTTACTGTTTTTTTGTCACGAAGGAATGCCTAGCTGTAAAAGAAATCCATATTTATTAACATATGTTTAACTTGTTACAATACAGAAATGACATTTCTCTATTTTATAGAATTTCTTAAACAGGTCATTTCAAGTGAACTTTCAAAGCTTGTTGTGACTTGCAGCACTTTGATTTAACTTAGAAATAAAGGCAGAAATGAAACGTCTAGTGTATATAAACGTTCTAAGTTTATATAAAACTATTAAAAGTTAAAGTTTCAAGTTTATTTGGTGACATTTTGAATACTCTGAGAGTTCGAACTGTTTTAGGAGTTCTTAAGCTATTCTTAAACATACTATCAACTATTGTGGTAATTTACTATTATTCTAGTACTATTTAAAAAATGTGAAATCTCCAGTTAAAGTATACGAAGAAGAGTTTGGGAAATAGAGTTCCTGTATAAATGTGTGTTTTGCTGTAGTTTTTACAGTGACTAGCACACTGAGTGGCAGCGGTGACGCAGATTCCCAACAGGGTGGTGATGATGACCATATGGACTGACGTTTGTGCTGCTCTTAGTGGTCAAGCAAACAGTGACCGTTTGATCCTGTTTTTATAGAAATCTGTATGAATATGCATCGAGGTCTGCTAGGTCTTGCCAAAACCAAATCTTTCTTAAAGGGATAGTTCACACAAAAATGAAAATTTTGTCATAATTTACTGGGTGAATTATTCCTTTAAACTATATTTAATTTGTTTAAATTATTTCATGTTTATATCACCAGAAGATAGTAATGTTTATGAGTAAATACCTTATGAAACTATAGCAACTTTAGTTTCCATCAGAAATACCATATTTACTACAGTTATTGTTAGGGCAAATGTGTTTACAGAATTAACAATAACTGTAGTTTCAACACATTTTGACCAGTGAATTTCCATGATTTTTCTCATGACCTTTCCACACTTTGAAAGTGAAAGGATATTTGAAGCCCTGTTTGGGAGTCTTAGATCACAGCGCACTGGTTGAACCCACTAGTTCTTTTTCTAAATGGGCAGTTTTCTGAGAAACATAAAAATGGAGCCCATACATTCCTGCAAGAACTGTGAAAAAGACTGTGAATGGTTCCTCCAGTGACATCAACACCACTTGGAAAATGTAATGAAGTTCCTTGTATACACAACAGGATACTTTGTACAAAAAGATAGTTTATTCATCGGAACAGATTTGGCTGCATGTTTGTAAGAAACAAATTAATCTTTAAGACGTTTTAACTTAAACTCAAAATATCCTTAATGCATAATAACACTTCCTCCAGTAAAAAAAAAAAAAAAAAAAACATCCCCTGGTGTCCTTTCACATCAAAATCCTATGATATATTTGTTTATAACTGTCTTGGACTGTTTTAGCTTGTAAACAGTGCTTGATCTGTGAATATTTCTCTCTTGATTCAGACGAGATGACTTTTTACTGGGGAAAGCAATATTATGGAAAGACAACTCATATTTTAGCCAGAAGCAACGTTTTGAAGTTAAAAACGTCTTAATGATGAATTTTATTTCTTACAAACAAGCAACTTTTTGCTTCACAAGATGTTCATTGATGGACTGGAGTCATGTGGATTCCTTGTGGATTATTGTGATGATTTTTATCAGCAGTTTCGACTCTCATTCTGACGGCACCCATTCACATCAGAGGGGCCACTGGTGAGCAAGTGAAATCTGCTTCGAAGAAAAAAACTTTTCAGAAAATATTTTTTGGGTGAACTATTCCTTTATAGTATCATTTTTACCGATTAATTTTCTACTTATTTGTGATTACATTCACTCACATTTCAAAGCTAAACCACTATAAACATTTCAATGACTTTTATGGGTTATTTTCTACAGTTTTTCCAAGTCTGGAAAACACAATTTTAGTATTCCCCTCTCCATGTTTTCAATCGGCTGTGGGAACCTGTAATAGCTTAACATATGGTTAAAACAACAATTATCACTCTAAATTATTTTGACATTTTATTGGTGCTTAAAGTCAGAAATATTGACATATAGCTTTGCACAATCTTTCATTACTTTTTAATAACAAGCAGTGAAGCGATTCTGTTTAGAATGTGGTTGTTGACAAGGCACTAAATAAATATTAATGAAATACAATTAAAACACTTGTTTTATCAAGCCCTATCTTTTAAACCGGATTTATTCTAGACCCAAATTCCGAGATGGTCCTCACTGCAGAACACAAGATCCAGGGTGCGAGGTTGGATCCAGATCCAACTCCTCCCACCTTACATATATCTAAACCTACCCGTCTCCACCCCCTGATCCCTAAACCCACCCCTAAACCTACCCATCGTCACCCCTAAACCTACCATCTCCACCCCCTAGATGTGGATCCAACCCCGCCCCCTGGATCTTTGTTCTGCAGTGAGGGGCTACTGGAAATTCCAGAATGTAACCACAGCCATTTAAAGTTCCCGGGTTCCTCCAGCGTCCCTACATTCAGCGCGCACTCTGCCTCGTCCAGCTCGTGCTGTGAATGGACGGCTGCCGTTCTTTTCCGGCTACACCTGCTCATCCCACCAGGAAGTGCTGGGCGATAAATCCTAAAGTAATAATCCCTTTTACCTGGAGCGAGAGGAGCTAACAAACATTATTATGCAGTGTATCCGGGGAAAGCCCTCCGATTAGATTCATGTGATCGACGCGCGCGATTAATGCAGGGTAAAAAACACACCGTCAACTCCCAGCAAGTTGGGGTTATTGTTTTCCTGCGGTGTAGCGTTTAGTTTTTTTGCGTGAGCGAGGTGAGACGGTCAACATCAAGCTCCTATCGGCCGAGGTCCAGCTGGATAAAGGTGGGACATTATCTTAATACGATTCAAGTGACTGACGAGTTTAGAACAGGCAAAAAGTAAAAGTGCGACTTCTAAAAGTAAACAGAGCGTAGAAAAAATAAGAAGAGGATTTCTTACTGTTTTTTTGTCACGAAGGAATGCCTAGCTGTAAAAGAAATCCATATTTATTAACATATGTTTAACTTGTTACAATACAGAAATGACATTTCTCTATTTTATAGAATTTCTTAAACAGGTCATTTCAAGTGAACTTTCAAAGCTTGTTGTGACTTGCAGCACTTTGATTTAACTTAGAAATAAAGGCAGAAATGAAACGTCTAGTGTATATAAACGTTCTAAGTTTATATAAAACTATTAAAAGTTAAAGTTTCAAGTTTATTTGGTGACATTTTGAATACTCTGAGAGTTCGAACTGTTTTAGGAGTTCTTAAGCTATTCTTAAACATACTATCAACTATTGTGGTAATTTACTATTATTCTAGTACTATTTAAAAAATGTGAAATCTCCAGTTAAAGTATACGAAGAAGAGTTTGGGAAATAGAGTTCCTGTATAAATGTGTGTTTTGCTGTAGTTTTTACAGTGACTAGCACACTGAGTGGCAGCGGTGACGCAGATTCCCAACAGGGTGGTGATGATGACCATATTGACTGACGTTTGTGCTACTCACAGTGGTCAAACAAACAGTGACCTTTCACTCCCGTTTTCATAGAAATCTGTAGGCATATGCATTGAGGTCTGGTTAAGGCCAAAGCTAAATCTTTCTTAAATTCTTTCAATCAGGGGTATTTCACGTTTATATCATCAGAAATATCATATTTACTACAGTTATTGTTAGGGCAAATGTGTTTTTTGTTACAGAATTAACAATAACTGTAGTTCCCAGTTCCCACACATTTGGACCTTTCCATGTGTTTTGAAAGTGAAAGGATATTTGAGGCTCTGTTTGGGAGTCTGAGATCACAGTCCACTGACTGGAGCCGCTTTTTCTAAATGGGCAGCTTTCTGAGAAACATAAAATTGGAACCCATACATTCCTGCATGGACTGTGAATGGTTCCTCCAGTGATGTCATCAAAACCACTTGGAAAATGTAATGAAGTTCGTTGTGTACACAGTAGGATAGTTTGTACACAACGTTTGTTTCTTCATCGGACCAGAAACACATTCATTATAAGACGTTTTAACTTAAACCATCGCTTCTGGCCAAAATACAAAGTCCATTATCCATTATAATGCTTCCTCCAGTGAAAAAGTCCATCCCCTGTTCTCCTTTCACATTAAAATCCACTGATATCTTGGTTTAGAACTGTTTTCACTTGTAAACGGTGCTTGATCTGTGCATGCATATTTCTCTCCTGATTCAGACGAGATGACTTTTTCACTGGAGAAAGCAATATTGTGGATAGGAGACTCGTATTTTAGCCAGAAGCAGTGATTTGAAGTTAAAAACACCTTAATGACTTTTCACTTCAATTGTGGATTATTGGGACGTTTTTATCATCTGTTATACTCTCATTCTGACGGCACCCATTCACTGCGAAAGATCCATTGGTAAGCAAGGGAAATCTGTTTTGATGAAGAAACAAACTTTTCTGCAAATGCTCGGTTTGCATTTGCAGAACTATTCCTATAGAACTATTCCATTATAGTATAAATTTTACTAATTAATTTTTCACTTTTTTGAGATTACACTCACATTTCAAAGCTAAACCACTATAAATATTTAATTGATTTTTGTGGGTAAAAAAAAAAAAAATGGAACGCACAATTTTAGTATTGCCCTCTCCAGGATTTCAGTGACTGTGAGAACCTGTAATAGCTTGATGTTGGAAACATGGTTAAAAATGACTTAACTACACAAAACAATTACAATTTCGATATTTTAGTGGTGCTTAAAGTCCGAAATATGCATATAGCTTTGCATAATTTTTGTATTATTTCTTAAAAACAATCAGTGAAGCGATTCTGTTTAGACAATAAATAAAGTATTAGTAAAATACAATTAAAACCTTTTGTTTGATCAAGCTTTATCTTTTAAACTAAATGTATTCTAGACACAAATTCCAGAATTAAACCGCAGCGGTTTGAAGTTCCCGGGTTCCTCCAGCGTCCCTACATTCAGCGCGCGTTCCTCCTTATCCAGCTCGTGCTGTGAATGGACGGCTGCCGTTCTTTTCCGGCTACACCTGCTCATCCCACCAGGAAGTGCTGGGCGATAAATCCTAAAGTAATAATCCCTTTTACCTGGAGCGAGAGGAGCGAACAAACATTATTATGCAGTGTATCCGGGGAAAGCCCTCCGATTAGATTCATGTGATCGACGCGCGCGATTAATGCAGGGTAAAAAACACACCGTCAACTCCCAGCAAGTTGGGGTTATTGTTTTCCTGCGGTGTAGCGTTTAGTTTTTTTGCGGTCCTAACCTCCCTCCGGCAATGGGATGCTGTGGAAGCGCAGAGGTAAGCGATGCTGGCCGCGACAAAACGTGATAGCATGTATCGAATCTGGCGCAGATGTGTTGATACATTGTTACATTGTTTCACGGCTGATCGCCTTTGACGGGCCAATGAAGTGCTGTACTGTCGCTTGCACTGCATGTAATCCTATTATTATGTCCTATGCGCTCGCACATAGCGATGAATGCATTTGACTATGACAGTTATGTGATGATTTCGCCTTTGCATCAAAATACAACGCGTTAGACCGTTGTCTTTGTTTTTTAGCTTCCCATCATCATAGTGTAGTGTGTTAGTATTAGTAAACATGTTTAGAGGCACTGCTGTGCTCTTACAACACACTGGTTACACAAAGGGGTTATTTATAAATGGATATCAATTGTGGTCGGTGCTTGTTATGTGAAATAGATTTTTTTGAATATGCCCGTTTTGACAGGTTACATTTGCGAGGCCTTATATGAAAATAAATACTGTTTAACGTTTGCAGCATGCTAACTAGTTATGTAAAGAAGAAATTGACTTAGGTTGTTTTCTTGATTATTTTTATATTTAAGTGCTTGATAACCGATATGTAAAACGCAGTGATACAATAATATATTTATTATCAATTACTGACCTATGAAGGAATAGATCATAATAAGATAATAATAACAATACAATAATACTAAAAAAATAATACACCAATAATAATAATAATAATAGTAATAAATAACTTATGTAAACTTAACTTTTTTTTTTACTAATGTTTTCCCCCCTATTTAATGGGCAGTGTTATTTTAAAAGATTTATTTTTAAATTTCTGTATCTAGTATTTTAGAACCAATTAAGTGGAACAAGTTTAAATATTGGAAGGCGGTATTGCTTATCAGTTTGTCTTTAATGTGAAGACATGTTATTTGAATCAAATGATAATCATTTTAAGCATGATTGAACATGCAGCATTGTGTCTTTGTATTTCAGAGGCCAAAAAGAGAATGGAAACCTTTGGAGGACCGGAGCTGCACGGATCTGCCATGGCTCCTGTTGTTTACATTGTTCCTTGTGGGAATGGTAAGTCAACAGTTCACCTTATTCATAATTTATAGACAATATTATGTTCATATATGCAGGCTATGAAAGTACTTCTGGTCACACTGTGTATTATAGTCAGTGGTCATGTTACTTTGTATTTTACATATACAGGTACTGGGTAGTTTTGATATACTACTTAATGATATACTAACAGGGATTTTTATAGTTCTAATTGGTCAGTTTTTGCATTCAACAGTCAGATGTTAATGACAGATGTCCAGGGCAACACGGTGTGATACTGTATTTCATATCCATGCATTTGTTTATTTATTATTGTAAAAAGAAAGATAATGTACATGCATCACAAAATAAACACAGAGAGGTAAATCAGGACTATGATATGAAGCAGATGTAGAATTTAGGATTCTTGGACACCCTGCGGTCTTTTTCTTCTCTCGCAATAAAACAATAAAATAAATATCTAAAAAATGCTAAAAACAATAATTAATGCTGGAGCTGCATGAATATTTAAAATCAAATCAAAATCACAATATGGCTTAGTGTGATTTAATTAATAAATAAATGTGCTGTTAAATAGTAATAAATAAATGTGCTGTGTGTTTCAGAGTGTTCTTACGCATGAGCAGCTCATCTGCTGGTGTTTGTAGCGGCTCAGTTTGCAGTAAATGCTGCTCCACATGAAATCATTTCTGCATGTGCTCTGGGTTTAGATCGATTTAATGTGCATTTGGAAACACAACATGCAGCAGCCATCTTCCCATGCTTGCAATGATAAGTGCTTATCAACAATAGAGCAGCTTTAAAAGTGTAAATAAATGTTGGATTGTTTAAAGGGTTAGTTCACCCAAAAATGAAAATTCTGTCATTAATTACTCACCCTTGTGTTGTTCGAAACCCGTAAGACCTTCGTTCATCTTCGGAACACAATTTAAGATATTTTTAATGAAATATGAGGGCTCTCTGACCCTCCCATAGACAGCAAGGTGTCAAAATATCTTAAATTGTGTTCCGAAGATGAACAAAGGTCTTACGGGTTTGGAACAACACAAGGGTGAGTAATTTTCATTTTTGGGTGAACTAACCCTTTAATGTTTGAAAAAGAAGAAATTAAGGCATCTATAAATATTAGTATTGTAATTTTACTGTAAAATAAAATAATGATTCGTTTTCTTAATTTTTTACCATAGAAATGTTTTTTATTTAGGATTTTTTATATTTTTATTTAGTAGTATAAATATATTATTATTATTAGTAGTAGTATTAGTATTATTATTATTATATCCATATTGATATATCATCTCTAAATTTTGGCAAAACTATGCAGCCATATAAACAAGCACAGCAAACCTAGAATTTAAAAGAAAAAAAGAAATGCAAATTTTTATCAGAAATGTCACAATTGGATTTTGAAATATATTATTATTATTAGTAGTAGTAGTAGTATTAGTATTATTATTATTATATCCATATTGATATATCATCTCTAAATTTTGGCAAAACTATGCAGCCATATAAACAAGCACAGCAAACCTAGAATTTAAAAGAAAAAAAGAAATGCAAATTTTTATCAGAAATGTCACAATTGGATTTTTTCCCAAATCATGCAGCCTTAAATAAAGCCTATTTATTTAGTTAGATAGTTAGTGAATAGCCATATAATACAACACCCCACCATGATAATTCATTCATCACTGTTTTCAGGATAGTGCAGAAACACCAGGCCTAAATATTCTATGGCTCAGCTTTTTTCCCTTGAAATTTCTCTTTTGATAAATAGTGTTTTGTCACCTTGCTGTGGTTTTTGCGACCAGCCACGATGAGCGCCATTTTGCTTTCTATTTCTGTGGTGTTTTAGAGGGTACCTCCACCCAGTGTGAAATCTCACTGCTCTAAAATATCCTGTTCCACAAACCAGTAGACATGAAATGTATTCTGATTGGCTGTGATTGTATGTGGTCTCACAGCAGTTTCACATTTAGTGTGAACAGACAAATTTGCTTGTCATTGGAAATTGTGGACATTGTGTTAGTGTATGTCTCAACATACATGTCTTACGCAAATGAAGAAACTCACAGGAATCTTGTGATTTAGTGGTGAATCTTTCTATAATTAGGTTTATCCTGTGAATTATTTAGCCTTTGCTGCAAATGAGTTTTCCCACATCTTTGACTTTTTTTTTCACTCTCATTCCAGTGTGGCATCTGTGGGTTTACCATCGCGACTGGAGGGGCGGCGCGGCTCGTCTTCGGATATGACAGCTACGGGAACACGTGCGGCCAACGCAACGAGCCCATCGAAGGGGTCCGGCTGAGTGGTCTCGACCATACTGACAGAAAGTGAGTCAGCTCGTCTTTCCTCCCTCTCTCACCCCTTTTTTTTTTTACACTCGGCACCATCACAAACCCTCATTTTTTCTTTCATTCTCTGCTTTTACACACCCGTTTTTCTCCGTTGTAAATGGTCAGCGGTGAAATCAGAGCGCTCCAGCTCTTGCCCTTCGATTATCACATCAATGCAAATGTCAAACGGCTGGCGTTTCACCTCGAGATGGCTGAGGACTATCTGAGCTACACACACGAGCCTTGAATAATTCAGTACAGGCCCTGAGGACGGGTACTGTCACAGTGTGCGGCCCTTAATGGGTGCTAGCCTGCAGGAAAGACAGGTATTGTGGGCCATTTCATTTGCAGCACTGTCAAATGATGGTTTTTGGCTCTCCGGTGTGGTTGAACTGAATTGTACGTAGCTTTTTAGAGATGGGTCTGAGATCTGACTCATCACGAGGCAGAGCGATTAATTTGGTGGAGTATTCACTGGCTTGTCAGAGCAGATTTGATCTTAATAATGGCTTGAAAATGTCTTGCTGGAGCTGTCAAAGATAGATGGCTGCACTTGCGGAGGGCATGCGGTTTACCTGTATATTTAATGATGTTTAGGCTTCATACAAATGCAATTTTAAGCTGTTAAAGAGATGCTCACCCTAAAATTCTGTCATTATTTACTCACCCTTATGTCTTTCAAAACCAGTCTGACGACTTGTGGAAGATAAAAGAAGATTTTTTAATTGCCCATACGATGAAAGTCAATGGGGTCCAGTGTTGTTTTGACCCCAGTGTTATTATATCTTTTCTTTTATGTTTTGCAGGAGAAATAAAGTCATACAGGATTGCAGTGACCTGAGTAAATGATGACAGAATGTTTAGGTTAATTTCTCTATTTGTATTCGCAAATGTGTCACATGACTTAAAAACTTAACAAATGTGTTAGTCTTTTTTGGATCTTGATTTTTAAGCATCACCAAGAGCATTTATGTCATGTTTAAGGTAATATGTAATCACAACCAGGCATTTAAAAAAAAAAAAAAAAGTAAATAAATATAAAAAATGAATAAATTGTCAACATACACTACTTTTCAAAAAAACATTGCGGACAATTAGTTTTCTTTCTTTTTCTTGAAAGAAATTAGTACTTTTATTCAGGAATGATTAAATTGTTTAAAAGTGACAGTAAAGACATTTAAAAAGTAACAGAAGATTCCTATTTGAAATAAATGCTGTTCTTTTGAGCTTTATATTTGTCAAAGAATCCTGAAATAAAATAAATTAACAAAAATTAAGCAGAAAAACTGTTTTCAACATTGATAATAAAAGCATCAATAAGAGCAGCAAATCAACATTAGAATGATTTCTGAAGGATCATGTGACACTGAAGACTGGAGTACTGATGCTGAAAATTCAGCGTTGTCATCATAAGAATGAATTACATTTTAAAATATATTCAAATAGAAAACTGATAAATTGTAATAATAATTCACAATTGTACTTGTTTTTTTTACTGAAGCCTTGGTAAGCATACAAATTTTTCTTTTTCTTGCCGACCTCGAACCTTTAAATGGCAGTGTATTTAAATGCCATTTATATCCACGTTGATCATTTTGATGTGTGTCTGTATTTCACAGTTCATGATGGGGGCAATCACCTCACAGGGCAATTTTCTAGTCACATTTGATATAAAATTGCTAATAAAACAATTCACAATTTGAATATATCATTTTATGTTTATGGTAAGAAAGTTCTTTGCATGATGAAAATAAAAGAAAAATGATAGCCTTTGAGGACAGTAAAATTACATGTCATGTCAACTGGCCATTTACAGAATCTTTTTTTTTTTTGTGATTAGCAGATTTTATGTTGGCGTTTCACATTTAGTAGTTTTTTCATGAGTGTGATGCTGCCTGTGTGTGATTTAGTACGTGTCTAGGTGTTTGCTTATTCTATTACAACCATATAGCTCTGAGTAATTGCTTCATTTATTCATGTCATAAAAGAGACGGATGTGGTAAATACCACCTAGAGTGAGTTACAAGAAGGCATGACTGCTCGTTTCTTGTCTTCCTCTTATTACAGCTTTAACTCTGGCTCAAAATATAGAACCACTAGAGACGTGTAATCACCCCTGAGCAGCGCTACACTAACTTCCATATCATTCTCTCTTTTTACACACACACGCATGCACGCACATCACTACACCAACCTAGGCTCACTGGAAATATGTGTCTCTGCATACGTTTTTGCAAACTTCAAAAACGTACCTATACAAATATACCTATATCAATTCACAGCAATTTCAAGCTCCAGTGAACACTAGTGGCAGTAAAACACAAACAACTTTTATTCCTTTTCACACTTTCACACATTGATTAATAAACAATGATTTTTGTCTGGTTTCTGGGACAATACTGTGTTATGACCTCAAAACACTTTTACCATTATGCATGATTTGTGAACTTCAACTTTTGGACTTTTGCATCACATTATCAGCTCCATATGAATGGCTTTTCTGACATAGTAAACTTGCTCGGCAGCTCACCTGGTACGTTATTTCACTTACTATTTACAGTGCTTGGGTACCACAAGTCACCATAAAAAGGCACAAAGGCTTGTAGAAGCAAGTTGAAATGGCATAGTTGCTATACTAATATCGTAGTATCGTGCTACAGTGCGCCTCCATCTCAATATACTGTACAACGCGTCGTCACACATTCACATCAAATTTGATCTCAGCGGTACTCACTGGACACTGCACTTATTTGCAATCACAAAAGTACATTATTTGCATGTGCTTTAAAGCCTTGCAGGTTAAACATTTCATTCGCGTGCTGTTCTGATATGCACTTTCTCTGAGCGCCTACACGGAAAGAAACGGATGTGTGCAGCTCTTAAAGCGACAGAACTAAACATGCTGCCGCTACTCATTAAAGGGATAGTTAACCCTAAAATTAAATTTCTGTCATTATTTACTCACTCACATGTTGTCCCAAACCTGTATTAATTTCTTTCTTGTGCTGAACACAAAAGAAGATATTTTGAGTGTGGGTAACCAAACATGATAGTGGGAAAAAAAAAAAAAATACTATGGAAGTAACTGGGGACCAGCAACTGTTAACAGAAGAAAGAAACTCATTCGGGTTTTGAAAAAAAACTTGAGAGTGAGTAAATGATGACAGAATTGTATTGGGTGAGCTATCCCTATAATGGTGATAAAACAAAACACAAAGCGAAAAATCACTCACTGCTCTTGACTGAAGAACTTTAATACAGTTGCTTTAATAAGAATCAATGAATTTATGTATATAGTGTTTTATTTTTATATTTGTTAATTCAATTTATTGAATGCTACTGCTAAATACACCTACCTGAACCTGAAAACCGTTTGTTTTATTTGTATATTATGTGTATTTGTACCGTGTATCTTTGTTCTTATTTTTTAATAAAGATAAAATAATGACAAAGATTTTTATATTTGCCCACTTTGGCCTAAATGTCTGCCATTCTTTTTTATTTTATATTTTGTTACCTTGTAAGGCTTTGTTTGTAATATAGGGAAATTAATTTGGCTGTTCTGCTCAGACTACTGGCAAAATAGTAAAACCAACATGACAAAGAATCGTGAATCGTGATATTTCTGGAAAAAATCGTGATATGATATTTTTGCCATGTCGCCCACCCCTAGTAGTAATTATGTGCTTTGTTAGGAAGATTTGACATTTGGCCTTAGCCTGCTTTGTTGATGTTAGACTTTATCGACTAGATTAGCACAGGCCTGTGGGTCATTCAGTCGTGGAGGAGAGTAATAGTGATCCTGTTTTTGGTCTGGACTGAGGTCTAGTATTTACTTTGGATTGGTTTTACTATGGTACTCTGGTAATGGCTGCTAAAGCAAATTTAGGAATATTTAAGAATAAATTTAGTGTGTAATAATGACTGCAGTTTTGTATTCTGTTCCTGACCCTGTTTTGATGTAAAGTAAAGTCAATTCCATCGACTCCTGTAGTGGGAGTTGACTCAGAAAAACCTGACATTGAACAACTTTACTAGCAACCTTACTGCTGTACTTGATAAAGTACATGTTGGAGGTGTAACTGTGTGTGTGTGTGTGTGTGTGTGTTAAGAGCCAGACTGAGTTAGCAAGCTAATGTTGTTAGCCGAGCAAAGTTCATCTGGTTAATGCACTTAGCTTAGTTTTACTTTCTCAGCTGCTAATACCATGATCCAGCAGCACGCTCCCACTGCCCACGATCCCTCACTTTATCCATCTCTTTTTAATGGGGTTATGGTCCATCTTTGCCTCTCATGTGTAATCATTGTGTTTATTGAATACTATAAAGGTTGTCAGCAGTTTTTGTGCAGCAAGCTTTGGGTTCGATTAGGTTCAGTGCTCATTTCCCATTTCCCCTGTTGTCAGTATGAATATATTTTACAAGCTTTATATATATATATTAAATTCATCAATCTGATGCACTTTCAGTGTTCAAAATTAAGAGCTCCAACACAGGTCCAGTGTGCAAAACTAAACAAAAAAAAAAAGCTGGTGAATTTATTTGTACTTGAAATTTAAAAGGGACTCAACTAAGGCTGCACGATATTGGAAAAAACTCACATTGTGATATTTTATTTTTCTGCGATATATATTACGATACGAAAAAAAAAATCACCAGATGACTTGAATAGTTCTATTTGGAAAAAAATATAATCAATATTTTTATATTGTAAATTAGCATAGAAAATAAACAAATGACAAACATAGAATATAATAGAACAAAGAATACAAATGAAATAAACAGGTTTTCAGGTAAGTCTAATAGTATTCAGGTACAGAAATTTAATAATTAAATGTAAAATAACACTGCATAGTCTTCACTGTATAAATTAAATCGAATAAATCTGTTAAAGCTACAAAAGTGTTTTGTTGTTTGATCAACATTCATAACACAGAAAGCCTCCGGATCATTAAACTGCTCTGAACCAATATACTGTTACACATCTATTTTCTTTCTCACTTGTTTACCTTCACCTAAACCATAAGCAACTGTGTTTACAAGCAGTGGCGGCTCGTGGGTATTAAAATAGAGGAGGCACACTAATTGTATTGGTCTGGGATCCCTGCCGAGATTGGTTGATATACTAGAAGGGAGGCTAGCCTCCCTTGCAAGGGTTCTTTTTTATTTAATGATTTAACTGTAGTAATTATAATTAAAACTTGGTAACCATATATGCATATTAGTCATTTTAACTGAACTTAGGACTGGTGGTGGTGTTTTTTTGGTCATTCAAATCACGTCACCAAAAATGTCATTGTTCAGTACAATTTATTTTGTATTTTCACTAGGGATGCACTGAAATTAAAATTCTTGGCCGAATTCCAAAGCTGAACAAAATTAAACACTGGGCCGAATACCGAACACGGTTTTCGCATTTTTTCCCCCATGTATTTTTCCATTTTTTTCACCATTGCATAAATTAAATAGCCAAAATGTGCTTTTTACTGTTTTGTCTTGCTTTTCAAATAAAGAATCAATTACAAAACAACAATTTAAAAGTATTTACTTAACACTGAACATGTGTTAACATTCTAGCAGACATTATACCAACAAAGCACAATTTAACTTAAAATTAATAGGGATGCACCGAATGTACGGCAACCGAAATTATTCGGCCGAAAAAGCAAAAAGGCCGAATAATATGTACCGAACAATGATGTGACGTGATCAAATAGAGGCACGCACTAATGCAGCAAACATGTCGGCAGTGTGAAAGTATTTAAAACTATCAGAGAAAGACGCAGAAATCATTACAAGCATGAAGTACCGACAGCAAGAGACTGTTTAGTGCTGCATCATATGTCTCCGATGAGAAGAAGAGGTGGCTGATGCTGGTGGTTAGGCTACTGTATGACGATTGAAATCGCAAAATGGCCTCAAACGATTAGTAAATAAACTGCAGTATGTTATATTTTCTAATGCACGCACAAATTGCATGTATTCTGACAGTGCTGCACGAGCTAGCTGCACCAGGGTTCAAAGTCCAAAGCGCGAGGAAAATCTACACTGAAGCTGTGTTACTTGTCAGTTGCTCAGTAACATTTTTGTGAAATTTTTTTAAAAGGCATGTGACAATGTGATGCGTGTGACAAACATCTTCCCAAATTCGTAATGAGAATCATTTATAAATCTGATATAAAAAATATATAACAAATATACAAATATTTTTTACTGTACAAATAAACGCAGCCTTGCTGAGCAGAAGAGACTTCTTTTAAAACAGAATATATTAGCCTACAGATCCTAATTTAAACACTATGTGTGAATGTTATAATAAATGTATTATTAGAGCTGATGTAGGGTAATTATTATCATTATTATTGTCTTACTTTTTTATTTTATTTTACAGCACAACAGTAAAATTATAATACTTACATTTATGAATGTTGATGGAGTTGTTGCTTTTTCTCAGCTTTTATTTTGGCGGAAACCCACAGGAAGACCTCAGTGCTTCTTTTTGTTGACAACAGCAGATTTATAAATGATACTCATGACAAATTTGGGAGGATGTTTGTCGCACATATCACATTGTCACATGCCTTTAAAAAAATTAATACAAAAATTTACTGAGCAACTGACAAGTAACACTGTTTCAGTGCAGATTTTCCTTGCTCCTTGGACTTTGAACCCTGGCTGTTTGAATACATGCAATTTGTGCATGTATTAGAAAACATAACGTTCTGCAGTTGATTTACTAATCGTCTGAGACCATTTCATGATTTCTATAATCATACAGTAACCAGTAACAACCACCCCTTCCTCTTCTCATCGGAGACATGAGATGCAGAACTAAACAGTCTCTCGCTGTTGGTGCTTGTATTGATTTTTGCGTCTTTCTCTGAGACTTTTAAATGCCGACATGTTTGCTGCATTAGTGCACGCCTCTATTTGATCACGTCACGTCATTGTTCGGTATTATCTTTTCGCTTATTCGGTTGCCGAACATTCGGTTTATCCCTACTTTTTGCTTATTTGGCCGAACATCGAAATATTTTTTTTTAATTTTTTTTTGCTATTTTCGGCAGAATAATTTTCGTTGCCGAACATTCGGTGCATTAACCTCCAGATGCCAGTGATTTTCAAACTGTTGTTCATCAGGCTAGGTCAAGGTTTGGGGTCAGTAAGATTTATTTATGTATTTATTTACTTATTTGTTTATTTATATTTTGGAAGAAATTAACATGTTTATTCACCAAACAATATTTAAATAGAATACATTTACAGTGTAACAAAAGATTTCTGTTCCAAATGTATGCTGTTATTTTGAACAGTTTTCAATTTTGACAATAATAAGAAATGTTTCTTGATCATGAAATCAGCATATTAGATGATTTCTGAAAGATCATGTGACACTGAAGACTGGAGTAATGATGCTGAAAATCAGCTTTTCAAACATAGGAATACATTTTAAAATATTAAAATATATTAAAATACAAAACAGTTATTTAAATTTGTAATAATATTTCACAACATTTCTGTTTTTACTGTATTTTAATAAAATAATGGCAGTTTTGGTAAGCATAAGAGACTTCTTTCAAAAGCATTAAAAAACCTTACTGACCCCAAACTTTTGAACAACAGTGTATGTCTATGTAGTAAATTAAGCCTTTGTTCTTAAACAAGAAAATCCTGTTTTTCATGATATGTCCCTTTAAATTTCCAGTTTTATTTTCACCTCAAATACTAATTTTGTCTCAAATTTAAAAAAAAATTAAGCTGTTCTAGATGCCTGGATTTGTAGTTTGCAATTTTTTAATGCTATTTCTTCCAATGCTTTCACATTAGACTAGCCTCAGGTCAGATCTGGGCTACGTTCTTACAGTAAACCTCTTCTTTGGCCAGGCTGTTTTGACAAGCTCTGTGCTAATGCTGAAGTGCTCTTTCCTCAAGCGCGTGTGTCCCCTGCTACTGACAGTCTGTTTTTGTGCTGAACACACAAGACAATGGGTCCCTCGTCCCCGTGTGGGCGCCGTGCCCACTTCACACCGCATGAAACGCTGAAGTAAAGCCACGGCCGCAGAGGAGGCTTGGCTCATCAACAAGCTCTCAGTTCCCCTCTGCCAAAACACAGGGCTGAACGGTCCTGTGACAAAAAATATCTGCTGTTCAGAGTCGATCTTTATCGCACAATGCCGTGTTTTAAGTCCCACAGTGGTATCAGATCAGACTTCATGAAATAAGCAACCTGCTTTGGTATTTCGTTTGTCATCAGATTTGAGTTGGATACTCTTCCTGTCTTGAAAAATTAGACTTTATTGTTGTTTTATTCACAGATTCGTCTTTTTCCTGGATCCGTGCAACATAGACATCATTCAGAGGAAAATAAAGTCCATGGCGCTCTGCGTATCACAATGTCCCACCGAGGAACTGGCGACTTACTACGACCTCAAGAGGTTTGCCATGATGAATGGTGAGTCGGTCAGCCAGCTAGCTATTGTGGGCATGTAACGTCATCGTCACAGATATAATGGCAGGACTAATTTTTTTTTGCTATTTTCGGCAGAATAATTTTCGTTGCCGAACATTCGGTGCATTAACCTCCAGATGCCAGTGATTTTCAAACTGTTGTTCATCAGGCTAGGTCAAGGTTTGGGGTCAGTAAGATTTATTTATGTATTTATTTACTTATTTGTTTATTTATATTTTGGAAGAAATTAACATGTTTATTCACCAAACAATATTTAAATAGAATACATTTACAGTGTAACAAAAGATTTCTGTTCCAAATGTATGCTGTTATTTTGAACAGTTTTCAATTTTGACAATAATAAGAAATGTTTCTTGATCATGAAATCAGCATATTAGATGATTTCTGAAAGATCATGTGACACTGAAGACTGGAGTAATGATGCTGAAAATCAGCTTTTCAAACATAGGAATACATTTTAAAATATTAAAATATATTAAAATACAAAACAGTTATTTAAATTTGTAATAATATTTCACAACATTTCTGTTTTTACTGTATTTTAATAAAATAATGGCAGTTTTGGTAAGCATAAGAGACTTCTTTCAAAAGCATTAAAAAACCTTACTGACCCCAAACTTTTGAACAACAGTGTATGTCTATGTAGTAAATTAAGCCTTTGTTCTTAAACAAGAAAATCCTGTTTTTCATGATATGTCCCTTTAAATTTCCAGTTTTATTTTCACCTCAAATACTAATTTTGTCTCAAATGTAAAAAAAAATTAAGCTGTTCTAGATGCCTGGATTTGTAGTTTGCAATTTTTTAATGCTATTTCTTCCAATGCTTTCACATTAGACTAGCCTCAGGTCAGATCTGGGCTACGTTCTTACAGTAAACCTCTTCTTTGGCCAGGCTGTTTTGACAAGCTCTGTGCTAATGCTGAAGTGCTCTTTCCTCAAGCGCGTGTGTCCCCTGCTACTGACAGTCTGTTTTTGTGCTGAACACACAAGACAATGGGTCCCTCGTCCCCGTGTGGGCGCCGTGCCCACTTCACACCGCATGAAACGCTGAAGTAAAGCCACGGCCGCAGAGGAGGCTTGGCTCATCAACAAGCTCTCAGTTCCCCTCTGCCAAAACACAGGGCTGAACGGTCCTGTGACAAAAAATATCTGCTGTTCAGAGTCGATCTTTATCGCACAATGCCGTGTTTTAAGTCCCACAGTGGTATCAGATCAGACTTCATGAAATAAGCAACCTGCTTTGGTATGTCTTTTGTCATTAGATTTGAGTTGGATACTCTTCCTGTCTTGAAAAATTAGACTTTATTGTTGTTTTATTCACAGATTCGTCTTTTTCCTGGATCCGTGCAACATAGACATCATTCAGAGGAAAATAAAGTCCATGGCGCTCTGCGTATCACAATGTCCCACCGAGGAACTGGCGACTTACTACGACCTCAAGAGGTTTGCCATGATGAATGGTGAGTCGGTCAGCCAGCTAGCTATTGTGGGCATGTAACGTCATCGTCACAGATATAATGGCAGGACTGGACATCTACCCATGGAAGAAACAAAGGCGTTTATCATATATATGGTCGTGACCCCCAGTGTGTGTCTTTTCAGTGTTTCTTTACTCAGGGGCTCCAACAAGAGCACCACACACACATATAAGTGAAGATTAGGATCACATTAATGAAAGTCACACTTTTTTCCCCAAATTCTGTTGAAAACATTGTCAATGAAATGTAAACAATTTCTGTTGTCATATTTTTGTGAATTAGCCATTGAATCGGTGTTGTTATTGTTAACTAAAAATAAATGATTAAAATTAGTTTTTTGGATAATTGAAATAAAGCTGAAATAAAACAAGTATTAGATGGAAACTTATTCAACTTATTTCAGTTAATTGCCAAGTCAGCATTTTTAATTTTCATTTAAATAAATTAAAGATAAAGAGAAAAAAAGACAAAAATGTCAAAGAATGTAACAAAAATGCTAAAACTTAAACTAGAATTAAAAGGAAAACTGAATATATACAAACAAAAGCTTATCCAAAATATTAAGTAATACTTTTATAGTGTATAAATAATGCAAAAATAACATTGCATTCTGTTTTTCATGATATGTCCCTTTAAATTTCCAGTTTTATTTTCACCTCAAATACTAATTTTGTCTCAAATGTAAAAAAAAATTAAGCTGTTCTAGATGCCTGGATTTGTAGTTTGCAATTTTTTAATGCTATTTCTTCCAATGCTTTCACATTAGACTAGCCTCAGGTCAGATCTGGGCTACGTTCTTACAGTAAACCTCTTCTTTGGCCAGGCTGTTTTGACAAGCTCTGTGCTAATGCTGAAGTGCTCTTTCCTCAAGCGCGTGTGTCCCCTGCTACTGACAGTCTGTTTTTGTGCTGAACACACAAGACAATGGGTCCCTCGTCCCCGTGTGGGCGCCGTGCCCACTTCACACCGCATGAAACGCTGAAGTAAAGCCACGGCCGCAGAGGAGGCTTGGCTCATCAACAAGCTCTCAGTTCCCCTCTGCCAAAACACAGGGCTGAACGGTCCTGTGACAAAAAATATCTGCTGTTCAGAGTCGATCTTTATCGCACAATGCCGTGTTTTAAGTCCCACAGTGGTATCAGATCAGACTTCATGAAATAAGCAACCTGCTTTGGTATTTCGTTTGTCATCAGATTTGAGTTGGATACTCTTCCTGTCTTGAAAAATTAGACTTTATTGTTGTTTTATTCACAGATTCGTCTTTTTCCTGGATCCGTGCAACATAGACATCATTCAGAGGAAAATAAAGTCCATGGCGCTCTGCGTATCACAATGTCCCACCGAGGAACTGGCGACTTACTACGACCTCAAGAGGTTTGCCATGATGAATGGTGAGTCGGTCAGCCAGCTAGCTATTGTGGGCATGTAACGTCATCGTCACAGATATAATGGCAGGACTGGACATCTACCCATGGAAGAAACAAAGGCGTTTATCATATATATGGTCGTGACCCCCAGTGTGTGTCTTTTCAGTGTTTCTTTACTCAGGGGCTCCAACAAGAGCACCACACACACATATAAGTGAAGATTAGGATCACATTAATGAAAGTCACACTTTTTTCCCCAAATTCTGTTGAAAACATTGTCAATGAAATGTAAACAATTTCTGTTGTCATATTTTTGTGAATTAGCCATTGAATCGGTGTTGTTATTGTTAACTAAAAATAAATGATTAAAATTAGTTTTTTGGATAATTGAAATAAAGCTGAAATAAAACAAGTATTAGATGGAAACTTATTCAACTTATTTCAGTTAATTGCCAAATCAAAGGCGTCATATATATGGTCGTGACCCCCAGTGTGTGTCTTTTCAGTGTTTCTTTACTCAGGGGCTCCAACAAGAGCACCACACACACATATATACACACATATGTTCCTGTCAGGCACAGCCGGTAAGACCCGGTCAGGGTTGAACTAACTAAACAAAGATTCCACTGACCCATCTTGCTGTAGGGTCTCTGTTGTTTACAGTCCAGTCTTGCGGTCTATAGTGTTTGACACGTCCCATCTGGCACCAAGGGAGAGTATGAATGACATCATTGTTTGGCTGGAGTTTCACTGTGTTTTCTGTACATAAGGAAAGTTCATAATGGAGTTCACATTCATATTAAATGCTTAGTGAGTTGACGGTGATTTAATTTGTCTCATTTCACATCCCTGCTGAAACCGATATATACCGATATATTGGCCTGGCCAATTAATGATAGGGTGATGTTTGCCCATGTAAAGAAGATTAGGATCACATTAATGAAAGTCACACTTTTTTCCCCAAATTCTGTTGAAAACATTGTCAATGAAATGTAAACAATTTCTGTTGTCATATTTTTGTGAATTAGCCATTGAATCGGTGTTGTTATTGTTAACTAAAAAAGTTTTTTGGATAATTGAAATAAAGCTGAAATAAAACAAGTATTAGATGGAAACTTATTCAACTTATTTCAGTTAATTGCCAAGTCAGCATTTTTAATTTTCATTTAAATAAATTAAAGATAAAGAGAAAAAAAGACAAAAATGTCAAAGAATGTAACAAAAATGCTAAAACTTAAACTAGAATTAAAAGGAAAACTGAATATATACAAACAAAAGCTTATTCAAAATATTAAGTAATACTTTTATAGTGTATAAATAATGCAAAAATAACATTGCATTAACTTATACATCAGCAGTGTGTGGTGGTGTTATGAAATGAGGAGGCAAAGTCCTCAAAGATTTAAAATTTTTTCATAAATCAAATATAAATGTATGTCCCAGTCACATTTTCTTGGTTAAATAAACATTACGTACACTATCAGAAAAAGAAGAAAAAAGTTGTATTATAGATGATTTTAGATTTAGATTTTTACTTTAACAATGTAATCAATATTCTAATTATTAAAGCCAAGCATGAATCTCATCAAGTTAGTGTTTTTAAGCATTTTACATTTATTCCAAAATAATAAATCAAGGCAGTAACAGTTTAAACAATATATTTTATTTGTGAACTTATGTTCAGCTATTATTTTTAATAGTTAACTTTTAACTATTTATGATTTTTTTTGGATCATCAGTCATCAAAGCTTGGTAAATATTGGTCAAAGACAGAAATTTAGTTTAAAATCACAGCCGAACTTAACCAGTCATATCCAATCATATCGCAATGGAGGCATTGCCTGCTCTCACGTGACTTTCCCCCATTCATTCTCAATTACCCCCCAGCAAACTCACCACACACTTTAGAGGGTCTGTTAAAACTCAATGGGCTCAGGGGAGGCGAGAGAGACATGGGCTCCCACTGTAACTTTACTGGTGTTGCTGTTGGACAGCGTTTCTTTAGAAAAATTACTGATTTTTACACTTTTTAATGTTATATTTTGTAATATTGGCGTTGTTTTATTTTTGTACTACAAATTGTTTTCTCATCTAATATTTTGAAATGGCACTGCCTCCTGCTCCTGACATTCATATATCATATCATCATGAAGCAATGTCTATTTTTCAATAATCCAGTGAAGTTAGTACTTTAAAAAGGTACTTTAGCTCATCATATTTCTATCTTTAAACTATAAATACTGCCCTGCGACTGAGCCCTTACAGGTGTCAACCTAGTTAGAGCTGGTGGGATACTGTGATTTAAGCTAGTCTAGCCAGAGCTTGTTTCATCTTAAACTTATAGACCGTCTTGACCACCTTAGCATGACCTAGCATTATAGGGGTGATGTTGATTATATTGCATCTTTTTCTTCTCTTTTAGGGTCTGAGCTTTGTTCATATGAGTTACCTGGTCATAAGTACCCAAGCCTTCCAGAGCGCTTCGAAAAGTGTCCCAAACTTCCAGTCCCAGAGAGGTATGAAACAAACTCTTGACAAACAAACTCTCCCTGTAAAGCACAGCTCTTTTCTCTCTTGATCTGTCCTCTATCCTCTGGCCTTTTCTATCTCTGCAGCAAAGCTCTTCCAGTGTTTAGCCGCTGCACGCCGGTGGATATTTCCTGCTATGCTAAGTTTGCTGAAGCGGTGGTCACGTTTGTCAGTGATAACAGCATGTTAAACAGACTGATTGCCGGGGTGGCGGCCAGCAAAGAGATCATTGTTGGGCTGTGTCTGATGGCGTTAGGTAAACGTTTACTTTCTCTGGCTGCTGCTGCTGCTGCTGAGGCTCATTTGATTCCATTTTCTGATTATGTGTTTATCTGTAAAATTAGTTGAAATGGATAATTACGGTTCATAATATCCACATCAAATCAAGGCTAATTAAGTTCTACACTATTAAGCATTAACAAACAACTATCTAAATCTAAGGTGCACCATTGTAATTATTACAGTATTATGAGATACCAGAAGAAGGCTGAAGTATTTTGTCCTCTCTTTAAGATGACATGAAACAGCATTTACAACACTTTTAAGTTTCATATTCCAATGCATTTAGATTATGCTTAACTACTAATTGTAGTTTAGTCTGGAGTCTTCCTCTAACTGCTGATCCTGTTTTGTGCATGCTGCAGTTTTGTCCATGATCCTCATGGTGATCATTCGTTACATCTCTGCTGTCCTGGTTTGGATCCTCACTGCACTGGTGGTTCTGGGTTCCCTGGGCAAGTCTGCTTTCTCTGCTCTTTTCTCACCTCCCAAGCTGAGAATGACATCCTTTCTTTCTTCATTTGCACATCCTAATCTTGAGTGTAGAATAGCACATTCAGATTAGAACAGTTTGGCCACTTTTTTATTTTATTTTATGTTGTTTATTAAATTTTTTTTAAATAATATTTAAACATTTATTTTGCTCTTTTATTTTGTTTGATTTCATTTTATTTTTCTATTTTGCTTTGTTCTATTTTCTTGTTTATTATTATTATTATTATTAGTTTATTTTCTATTTTATTTTATTTTCTATTTTTATTCTAAGTAATTGTATTTTGTTTCATTTAATAATGTTGTTTTATTTATTTATTAATTTTTTTAAATATTACTTAATTTATTTTGCTTTGGTCTATTTTTATTGATTTACTAGTTTTTTTTTAATTATTATTATTATTATTATTATTATTATATTTTCTATTTTATTTTCTATTTAATAATGTTGTTTTATTTTTTATTTTTTGTTTGTTTTTTAAAATAATTTATTTTGCTCTATTTTATTTTGTTTGATTTTATATCATGCATTTTATTTCATTTTATTTTTCTCAAACTGTATATTTTTTGCCAGGTTTCAAAAGTACTAAACAGTTATCTATCTTAATACCGTATATTATAATGATTTGATGTCTGATTTTACTTCAGGAAAGAGATTCTGTTTGTTGTAAATAGTATTTTTGCTTGAAAAACAGACTAATCCGTATAATATAACTGTTCATATAATCATATTGACTATCAGCCAGAATTATGTGTCTGTTCCAAAGGGATGCACAGTAATGCAGTCCCACACAAAGTTGAATCATCATTAAAAGTGTGGGTTTTATTCTAAGCTTACACCTGTTTTTGCAGTGTTGAATGTGAATATGACATCTGTTCTTGGCTTTTCTCAGGAGGTACCAGCGTTCTGTGGTGGTTGTACATAGACTATAGAATGACAATGAATGAGACCATGACTAAAGATCTGAGGGAAACAGAAGAACCCAACGGTGGCATGAAGACCACCAAAGACCACGCTCAAGGACTGCTCATCTACGCCGTTTCAGCGACCGTGTTCACTGTAAGCCCTCAGAGAAATGGAAAGTGAAATATGAAAGAGATCCCGGCTGGTGTTTTTGCTGTGTCATGCTGCCAATTTCCACCTTTCTGCTCCTGCAGGGAATTTTGTTGCTTCTGATGTTGTTTATGAGGAAGAGGGTGGCTCTGACCATCGCCCTGTTCCACGTGGCGGGAAAAGTGTTTATCCACCTGCCGCTGTTGGCTCTGCAGCCCTTCTGCACGTTCCTCGCTCTTTCTCTGTTTTGGGTCTACTGGATCATGGTCCTCCTCTTCCTCGGCACCACTGGTGAGATGAAGCTTCCTGTGGGTTTAAAAAAAAAGAAAAAAGAAACTTCTTTCATCAGTTAGGCTGCGTCCCCCTGTTTTTCCAAACTGTGTTTGTTACAGAATTGTTTATCAAAGTCTGCTTTCAATGTATGGAGAAAAAACAGCATTCATTTTTATTGAAGAAAGAAAGTCATGACTTAATGATGTCAGACGTCTCATTATTTTTGCTTGAAATATCCCTTAAACAACTAACTTGAAATCTAATTGCACGTTCTATAATGGATCTGCTTTTTGAGTGCAAAATATACACAATAGTGCAATAGTCGGATGCATGGAGTTTAACTTCTTCATTTTGTTTTTATTGAAGAAAGAAAGTCATGACTTAATGATGGGTAAATGATGTCAGACGTCTCATTATTTTTGCTTGAAATATCCCTTAAACAACTAACTTGAAATCTAATTGCACGTTCTATAATGGATCTGCTTTTTGAGTGCAAAATATACACAATAGTGCAATAGTCGGATGCATGGAACAGTTTGGTCATTTGAAGAATTTTTTGTTTATTTTTATTTGATTTTGTTCTGTTTTCTTTTATTTCATTTTTTTAATATATGTTTTATGTCATTTTTATTTTGTTCTGATTTATGTTGTTCTTTTTGTTTTCTTGTTTTTTTTAATTTTATTATTTTGTCAATGCATTCTTTGCCAGGTTTTAAACATATTAAAAAAGTTATCAATCCTAATACTGTACATCATAATGTTTTGATGTCTGATTTCACTTCAGGAAACATATTCAAGATAATAAGTTTGTTATTTCTGTTTAAAAGCAGTCTGCTATCACTCATCATGTAATTATATTTGGTTGTCCCTTAAATAACTTATGAATGCATACTTTGTAGTACAGATGTGCAAAAGGAAATATTAACAATTTTAGGAATTGCTTTGCTTTGCATTTTTCGCAGACGTAATGGGTACAAGCCTCAAAATAGTCTTCTGTTCAAGTCATTTAGTACAGATAACGAAGGACATTTACGTACTGCAGCACAAATTAAGTGACTTTGCATGGCCATCTCTTTCTCATTTTAAATGTGTAATCTCAGGCTGCAGCTTGTACACTCGTGTCCACAGGGAACCCGGAAAAGAACGAGGATACTGGCCTGGTTGAGTTCAGGCTCACAGGAGCGCTGCAGTACATGACCTGGTACCACGCAGTGGGACTGATCTGGATCAGTGAGTTCATCCTGGCTTGTCAGCAGATGACCGTAGCCGGTGCTGTGGTAACCTACTATTTCACAAGGTCTGTATTTTTAGTGAAAACGCCCTCAAATACCACTTTTCTTGTTAAAGGTGATGTGGTTAATATATTTTGAAAATATTTCCTTTGATCAGATTTTAAGTCTCTTGTTGGTTGATTTTCATGAAGTTGTGGCACTTTCAACATTTCTGTCTGCTTGAGTTTGCTTAAAGAAATAATTTACCCAAAATGAAAATTTGCTAAAAATATACTCACCCTCAGGCCATCCAAGATGTGGTTAAGTTTGTTTCTTAATTAGAACAGATTTGGAGAAATTTAGCATTACATCACTTGATCATCAGTGGATCCTCTGCAGTGAATGGGTGCCGTCAGATTGAGAGTCCAAACAGCTGATAAAAACATCACAATAATCCACACAACTTCAGTTTATCAATTATTGTCTTGTCTATGTTTGTGATAAATCCATCATTAAGACATCTTAATTTTAAACACGCTGCTTCCGGCTAAAATATGTGTCCTTCAGGCTAAAATGATGGACCTTTCGCTTCACAAGACTGGAGTCGTCTGGATTATTGTGATGTTTTTATCAGCTGTTTGGACTCTCATTCTGACGGCACCCATTCACTGCAGATGATCCATTGGTGAACAAATGATGTAATGCTAAATTTATCCAAATTTGCTCCAATGAAGAAACAAACTCATCTACATCTTGGATGGCCTGAGGGTGACTACATTTTTAGCAAATTTTTATTTTTGGCTGAACTATAAGCCTATAATTGTACTTGTCTTCAACTAATCCTGTATTCATGAAGTTGTTCTTGAAATAGCTCACAGTTGCAACCTTGAAAGAAGACTGCATTTTTTTGCAGTAATTTATTTCATATCCATGCAGGGACAAAACCAAACTCCCGGTGACGCCCATCCTGTCATCAGTGCTGCGGCTGGTGCGGTATCACCTGGGCACTGTGGCCAAGGGCTCCTTCATCATCACCCTCGTCAAGATCCCGCGCCTCATTCTCATGTACATCCACAACCAACTCAAAGGAAAGGTAGGGAGGCAGCTCGCTTTACGTGTCCTTGGGTTGTTGGATCTAAATTGCAAATCTCTCTCGTTGCAAAAATCTTAACTGATGTCATGCATATTTATGCTTATGGCATACAGTTTTCATTAGGACAGGAAAGTTCCTATGTAGTGTTTTTGGGACAATTGCATACACAATTAACTAATATTAGGACGTTTTTTAGGAGTGTTATGCTAGTATTATATGCTAAATATGGGTTTTGTATTTAAACATTTTCATGGTTGAGAATTTTCAATATTTTTAATGATTTTATTTTAGTTTTCTGTTTTCACGGTTAGTAATTTCATTGTGTTTTTTGTCATTTTTATCAGATTTTTGAATGCCTTTATAGTTTTTATTGATTTTTATTTCTTAGTTTTAGTTATTTTAATACTTCAGGTTAAAATAAAATAGGTTTTTCTTTTTTCTTTTTCTATTTTGTTTTATTTTAGTTGATGTTTATTTTATTTCAAGAAATAAAAATCTTTTGTGTTTACTAATAAATAATGCACAATAAAATCACTAAAATAAATAGGCTCAATTTTGACTTGCAGTTTTTAAGAATAATGCAATGGCTCAAAGCTAAGTGTAAAAATATATTGAATTGGCTTTTGCTTTTTGAATCAGCAGTCAGGTGATCATTACTTTACTTGTCTGAAAATGTTCTTCTACATACTTATTTTGGTATTATCTTGGTGTGTTGGGTGGGTATCTTTTGAAGTTAATGCCGAAAGCTATTTATTACTGTCCTCTTGGGTTCCACTTAGGTGACGTATCATTTACTTGATATATGGCTGGGGATCTTGGGAATATAATGAACTCTAATAGATAACAGTGCCAGCTTTATAGAGGCAGATTTGGAGCATTAAGCAAGAGGCTGACAAATGTGCATCAGACATGCACTGTGGAAAACGTTTGCGCTCGTTCTGATTCTGTTCCAGGAAAACGCTTGTGCACGCTGCATGCTGAAGGCCTGTATCTGCTGTCTGTGGTGTCTGGAGAAGTGCCTCAATTATTTGAATCAGGTAGGTTAGTCGATGGATAACTCCTACTGTGCAAATTGAAGTAGAAATTGTAGCTCTTTTTGTTTGATGTATTAATTCTTGCGATCTGTTTCTAGAATGCATATGCGGCGACGGCCATAAACAGCACCAGTTTCTGCACCTCGGCCCGCGATGCCTTCGTGATCCTGGTGGAAAACGCTCTTAGGGTGGCAACCATCAACACCGTTGGAGATTTTGTTCTCTTTCTGGGCAAGGTGAAGGACAGATGAGTTTTGATAGTGGTTGTCAAGTATTTAAAAAAAAAAAGATAAAGGCAGCCAGCTAAACTGTTATTTGAATAGTGCAGTTTTATTTTGCATGCTGACATACACTACTGTTCAGATATACTGTTTTGGGGTCAGAAAGATTTTATTTTTATGTTTTTGCTATAGCAAGGCTGCATTTATTTGATTAAAATACAGTAAAAACAGTAATACTGTGAAATATTATTGCAATTTTAAATAACCGTTTTCTATTTTAATATATTTTAAAATGTAATTTATTTCTGTAATGCAAAGCTGATTTTTCAGCATCATTACGGCAGGCTTCAGTGTCACATGATCCTTCAGAAATCATTCTAATATGCGGATTTGCTGCTCAAGAAACATTTCTTATTATTTTCAATGTTGAAACACTAATTTTATTGTGGAAACCATGATACGTTTTTCCAAGCTTATTGATTGATGAGTAGGAAGTTCAAAAGAACAGCATTTATTCATTTTTTCTCTTTATTTTCTCTTATCCAAACAGTTTTTATAGTATTGTATCATAGTTTCCACATAAATATGAAGCAGCAAAAACTCTTTTCAATATTAATAATAAGAACATTTTCTTGTCACATTTTGGTCAATTTAATCTCATCATTTCTGAATAAAAGTATTAATTTATTTTAAAAAAAATCTCACCCCCAAAATTTTAATGGTAGTGTGTCTTTTTTTTTTTTTTTTTTTCCCTTTCCCTATATTTTTTTTTTTTGCATATGCGGCGACGGCCATAAACAGCACCAGTTTCTGCACCTCGGCCCGCGATGCCTTCGTGATCCTGGTGGAAAACGCTCTTAGGGTGGCAACCATCAACACCGTTGGAGATTTTGTTCTCTTTCTGGGCAAGGTGAAGGACAGATGAGTTTTGATAGTGGTTGTCAAGTATTTAAAAAAAAAAAGATAAAGGCAGCCAGCTAAACTGTTATTTGAATAGTGCAGTTTTATTTTGCATGCTGACATACACTACTGTTCAGATATACTGTTTTGGGGTCAGAAAGATTTTATTTTTATGTTTTTGCTATAGCAAGGCTGCATTTATTTGATTAAAATACAGTAAAAACAGTAATACTGTGAAATATTATTGCAATTTTAAATAACCGTTTTCTATTTTAATATATTTTAAAATGTAATTTATTTCTGTAATGCAAAGCTGATTTTTCAGCATCATTACGGCAGGCTTCAGTGTCACATGATCCTTCAGAAATCATTCTAATATGCGGATTTGCTGCTCAAGAAACATTTCTTATTATTTTCAATGTTGAAACACTAATTTTATTGTGGAAACCATGATACGTTTTTCCAAGCTTATTGATTGATGAGTAGGAAGTTCAAAAGAACAGCATTTATTCATTTTTTCTCTTTATTTTCTCTTATCCAAACAGTTTTTATAGTATTGTATCATAGTTTCCACATAAATATGAAGCAGCAAAAACTCTTTTCAATATTAATAATAAGAACATTTTCTTGTCACATTTTGGTCAATTTAATCTCATCATTTCTGAATAAAAGTATTAATTTATTTTAAAAAAAATCTCACCCCCAAAATTTTAATGGTAGTGTGTCTTTTTTTTTTTTTTTTTTTCCCTTTCCCTATATTTTTATTTTTTATTATTATTTGTCAATAGATTTCAGTTTTTTACCATCCAGCAAAACCATTACTTATTGCTTTCTATTCATTGCAAGTTTGTAATTATTCTTGAACTCCTTTTTTAATTCAGTTGACTCATATGAAAATATTTTTTTATGAAGTGAGTCCAGATTTAGTTTTAGATTTTCTATTGAAGATAGTTTAAAAACCTTTTGTGAAAATGTTTTTTTTTTTTCATATTTTGCAACATTTTATCATTTTTCTCACCACAATTACTACATGTTTAATTTGTCAATTTTTGTGTCCTTTAAGCTAACAGACATGCACTAAAAGCCTCAAGAATAAACAATAAATTTAGACCAGCATATGGTAGTTTAACCTGGTTTATGCTGGTTGTGTTGGTGTGCCTTGACTAGTATACCTATGTTAACACAATTTAAACGGTTAAGCTACTTCACCATCTTATTTATGAAGCTGGATTACCAAGGAGGAAGCCTTGATGGATGAACTAGTTAAGAAGCCTAAACAACACATCAGCATCCCATGCTGGAGACCAGCTATGCTCGACTTTTCTGCATGCTTTTTCGTATGTTTTATACCCAGTAATTGAGCTTTTGCATATTTATCCCCGTGCAGATCCTGATCGTGTCGTGCACGGCGTTCACTGGCGTGTTAGCGCTGAACTATCAGAGAGATTACACCGAGTGGGTCCTGCCGCTCATCATCGTGTGTCTGTTCGCGTTCCTCGTGGCACACTGCTTCCTGTCCATCTTCGAGATCGTGGTGGACGTGCTCTTCCTCTGCTTTGCCATCGACACCAAATACAACAACGGCACACCTGGGAGGGAGTTCTACATGGACAAGGCCCTGATGGTGAGTCACTGCTGAAGAGAAGGTTGCAGCCTATCTGTGCAATTCTCTCCTTCTGTCTGCTGTTGGATCAGAACACCATAAATAGTCTCAGTGTTGAGAGCGCACTTGCCATCTGAGTCACGTTTCTGTTTTTGTGTTGTAGCTTCGTTTGTCTTTTGAATGCAGGCTCTCTGCTGGCCTGGATGCGTTAATATTTTAAGATTCAGATGGTGTCCCAGATATTCTCTTTGGACAACTTTCAACTTTTGTTTTGAAAAGCTTGTTGATTTTTCAAGGGGAAAAAACTCACAAGGCTGGATTCTTGTGCGCTTTCTGCTTTTCACATAGTCAGCCAAATCGTGTAGCCAACAGCTTTGAGACATCAAAGGAGAAGGCTTGAGCCTTGAGGTGCTGCACAGAATCACGGCCCTCAGAAATGCAAAGTCGCTAGCAGTAAAGGTTGTAGCACAGCAACAGACTTTGGAACATGTCAGCTTGTTCTTTCTTAGAGCTGCTTTGGGTAAAAATATCTGTTCAGTCTGCAGTTACTGGCTCCATTTCAGCACGTTTTCGGTGGGAAAGCTGTTTACCAGCTGCACGCTGAGGAACTGTAGCCTACTCTGCTTGAAGATGGTCTTCTGGTGTAAGGAATGTAGAATAGAATTTGCAATTGTTATGAAAGCGATCTTCTATCAGTTGTGTTAGTGATCTGCTAATGATGACATATTTATTTAGCAAAATCATCATTCTGTAAGGAAAAAGTGGAAATGATGATTTGGTTAACAGGAAAAACTACACTAAAAACTTGTAATAAATCGCAATTATAATAAAACAAAGATATTGGTGTGTGTTGATTTGGTTAACAGGAAAAACTACACTAAAAACTTGTAATAAATCGCAATTATAATAAAACAAAGATATTGGTGTGTGTTTTACAAGAAAATACTATTTCTACTTTGAAAATTTATTACACATTTAATTCAATGTGCTACTTGCCATTTCTTTATAATTAATTTGTAATTTTATTTTTGTGCAATTTCCGATTGAATTTTTTTCTACACAATATTTTGTTTCCAGTGTAAATGCTTTTAAAGAATTATTAAAAAAATAAATAAAATAAAAAACGGCTAAAAAACAACATTTCAGAGATTTTCCAAATAAAATATCTTACTGTAAGCATTTCTTGCAAGGCAATTTGCATCAAACAGACATTTAACCCAATTTTTTCTTAAATTAAGCTTTAAATATATTTAGACACATTTTAAGACCATTGCATTTGCTTTTGTACTTTAATAATATTTTTATATTTTTCATATTCCCCCAAATTGTCATCAGATAATGAATCCAGATTATCCAGATGAATTATTTTCAATGGATATTTATGTATTTAATTTACACATAACTTTGTGAATTTATACACGTTGATAGTATGTTCTGTCTTTAATTGTCTTTAATTTATAGTGATTAAAAAACAGTTACAGTAAAAATTGCAATAACAAATTACCCATAATATATATTGTGTGTATATATATATATACACACACACACACACACACACACACACACACATTCTCCGACTGAGAAATCAAACCTAGTGTGACGACAGCCTCTAGGAAGCTGCTGTACTGGACTATAGTTTGATTTATTACTTTCCTCTCCTGCAGGAGTTTGTGGAGAACAGCAGGAAGTCAATGGCGGTGGAGGAGCGGGGGCGCAGCAAGCGCGCCCGTCCCAAGGAAGAGGTAGAGTTGACGGAGGTTAAGGCCATGGTGAGTGGTGACGTGGGCGTGGCAGAGGCGGAGTGGCAGGCCTTGCAGGAGTTCCACCTGTACTACCTGCTGCTGTGTGTGCTGATGGACTGGGCCCTGTCGGAGCACACACTGGTGCTCTGCCTCACACAAGACATGATCATCTTCCTGTCTGTCTGCCTGCCCACCTCCACCCTCTTCTTCCTGGTCACATTGCTCCAGAACACGCCGGTGGCTGCTGCTGCTGCATGCTGACTAACGCTTCCTCACCTCCTTCATCCATCTATCATTTCATCTATCCTTTCTATGCATCGCACTAACAGAGCATGAACTTCTATTTTTCTATCTGTGGATTATTATTATTTTTTAAAATCTTTTTTCATTCCTTTCTTGCCTCTTCTTTTTTATTGACTGTCTTGAACTCATATGGCATCTATAAACTGTACTTGTATATCCGTTGCCTTAAAATCACCATGTTGCTATTTGGAGGAAAGATAATTGAAACTGCCAAGCTGGAAAAACAAGAGAAGTAGAGAAAAGGAAAGACATTATCTCTCACGCTGATGGTCATATTTTCCACAACTCCCAATTAGCAAATTAGCTGATAACCACAAGACTCCTTACTTTCTGGATAAACAATGGCAAATTGTGCCGTTTCACCCTCAACATTATAAGTGGGTCTGGAAGAACACAGTTTGTTTGGTAGCATAAGATTAGGACTGACTGTATATGGGTTGTTGACAAGAAATGTTAATCATTTCTGTGTGACGTTCCTCAAATTGACTAGTCAGTGTATTGTAGGATGATTAGTCAGTTTGAAAGAAAACCATCTGACCCTGATCACTCAATAATTGACAATTCATGCTTTATCTAAAGGGATAGTTCACCCCCAAAATTAAAATGTTGTCATTAATTACTCACCCTCATGTCATTCCAAACCCATATGTCCTTTGTTCATCTTCGCAACACAAATTAAGATATTTTTGATGAAATCCAAGAGCTTTCTGATCCTGCATAGACAGCAACGCAATTGACATGTTCAAGGCCCAGAAAGGTAGTAAGGACATCGTTAAAATAATCCATGTGACATCAGTGGTTCAACCGTAATGTTATGAAGGGCTCCACTTTCATTTGATGAGCACAAACATTCAAAATGTCTGCTATGGGAGTATGTATGTTTGGTAAGCGGGGAAACGAAATTCTGCAGAAAGGGTGGATTTTTTTTATGGCAACAACAAATGGACATGTTCAGTTATCCACTGTAAATACGACTGTAATTCCACTCAGCTGTAGGGGACTCAAAAGTCTCAAAAATACACAAAACTACATGCAATTGCTTTAGAAGTTCATGGTCATTTTTAAAAGTGCACATTTGTCAACTACCCATATACTTTCCATGTTCCTGAAATTCTGTTACTATGAATAGTGTCGATGTGTTTTAGGGCTGAGAATCTGGTTTCAAGACAGCCTTTAACATCCATCATAACAGCCTCTCCATATGCATGGATATGCATGCTTCTCACACCTGCTTTTTTGTGATGCCATTTTATGTTTTTAACCCATTTTTTGGCATTCTGCTGCTTGAAATTGATTGAAGTGGACTAACTCCTCCAGATCCAGATCAGTTGACTGGTTGTTGGTTTGTTTGGGAGTAAATAAGACTAATAACGTGTTTCTTTCCTGTAGGCTCCCGGGACAAGCTCTGCTTGACCAAAATCAGCCCATGGGACTTTTTAAAGACATTCCAAAATGTTTATTTTTACCAATGTGTAACATGTTTACTATGGTTTCACTCCAGGGAATACAATATTTTAATAAGAAACTGTAAAAAAATGAAATAACAATGTAATGAAGCACTTTATATTGGAGCGCTGCATATTTTAAAAAGCCTGATGCATTTTTCGTAGTGATGTCCTTTTTATAAGACTAAAAAAAAAAAACAGTTGCCATCTAGTGAAACACAGTATTAATAATATCTAGAATCACTGTTTTTATTATGTCAACTTTTCATAACAAACCTTTTTTTAATTGGTTTTCTTTGCGTTTATGAGAACCCCACATACTGCAGTGCAGCACTTGTTCTTTTTGTCTCATTTAATTCAAATAAGGAAGCATCTACGCTTTTTATTTCTTCATTAGCAAAAAAGAAAAAAAAAATGCTCGGTTGTGTTATTTTACTAAAATAACGTTACCATGCCTGAAAATGAGGCATGAACATTTACACTTGTGTGTAAAAAGGTTGGTTGGTTTCCCTCCAGTGGTGGTAATTTTAGTTTGTTTCTGAGTTGCGATAAAACTGTAAAAGTCCAATTTTCCTGCTGTGACTGTTAGTGCTGATAGAAACTGGGTCTGGTTACCTTAAACTGGGAGGAAGACATTAATGGTTTCTGACTACAATCCACAGTTGCTGTAACTATGAGTATGAGTGACATTACAACAAAAAGCACATGCAAACAATAACAGTTCAGTTACACAACAAGACGATTGGAATGGTTATGCTTTTTTGATTTTCTCTTTTGCTCACCAAGGCTGCATTTATTTGATCAAAAATATAGTAAAAACTGTTATATTGAAATGTATTACAATTTAAAAGAAATGTTTCTATTTTAATATATTTTAAAATATAATTTATTCTTATGATGGATTTTCAGCATCATTGCTCCAGTCTTCAGTGTCACACGATCTGTTAGAAATCATTCTGATATGCTGATTTGATGTTCAGGAAACATTTCTTATTATTATCAATGTTGAAAACAGTTTAATTGCTTAATTTTTATTGTGGAAACCATGATTACATTTGACCAAGTTTCTTGATTGATGAATAGGAAGTTCAAAAGAACAGCATTTATTCATTTTTTTATCTAATCATTTTTTTCTAATTCAAACCTTTTGTATAGTAGTGTATCATGGTTTCCACAAAAATATGAAGCAGCAAAACCTATATTCAACATTAATAATAATGAGAAATTTCTTGAGCAGCAAATCAGCATATTAGAATGATTTCTGAAGGATCATGTGACACTGAAGACTGGAGTAATGATGCTGAACATTCAGCTGTGCATTACGGGAATAAATTACATTTTAAAATGTATTAGTAATATTTTACAGTATTACTGGGTTTAATGCATTTTAATCAAATAAATGCAGCCTTGGTGAGAATAAGAGATTCTTTCCAAAAATGTAAAACTGTAATAATTCCAAACATGTGATGTGTATCTAGGAATGGTTTGTTATCTTCAGAGCTAATTCAAAACAATTCATCCTTCAAAGAAACACAAGGCTACTCCTGTTCGTAAATCAGCAACGGGGCAATTCTGGTGCTGCGACGTGGCTTGGACATTGTCTTTGGTTGTTAAAGTAACATGACTTTGCCTCACTCAACAGAAATTAAATGCATGAGCATCCCTGATGTTGATCCACAGCATAAAGCACTGATCTCTCCTTGGGTGCGATTCTTCATCCAACCTTTAGGGAGAAATGTGCTAATTTGAGCTTTTACATAGTTGTCTTTACAGCACAATATTTGTTCTCTTTCACTTTGATTCTTTGCAACCAATGGAGAGTTTGGTCTTTATCTAGCAAGATGTCTAGGGGCACCGACTTTAATATCCGCATCAAACTTAAGTCTTCCTACTCATGCAAAGTATCTTGAAAGGAAACATAGTTTTATTTTCTGCTAGACAGAGCAGCGGAAGAGGAGAGTCACATGAAACTTGCATTTTGCCTTAACCAATCGAGTGAATGTCGCCCCCTGCTGGATTACATAGACTAGTTGAGTGCAGAACAGAAAGAGCTCATAAGCCTTAAACAGATCTAACCATTCACAGTAATTTAACTAACCCATCGAATGCCCGAACGTGTTCGGTCTGGCTGAGGAGAATATATATCATTTATTTACGCACAGAGGAATCTGCAGTCTATTGGTTTTTGTTTTCTAACAAATGTCCGACTTAGCAAAATTGATGTGTGCCGTTTTTGTATGGATGTTTTGAACGTCATGTTACATATTGATAAATATTGACTGAGGAATAGTTTTTTCCTTTATCATTTTTATTCCATGTTTTCGTGTCTTGCATTGGAGGGAAATGTTGTTAATTATCTTACAATAAGGAGATTTTTGGGGAGGGTTCAGAAATGAACACAGTGTACCTATGAGATATTATGAGCATGATTAAAGAAAAAAAATCTTAAGAGATTAAACATTTGCCACACAAAACTTATGCTGTAAGCATGTTAAATATTGCACTAAGATGGCATACATTAAACACCGAGATGAATTAATGATAGCTGTAAAACATTTATCGTTAAAATAGTCTTATAGCGCATTCAATATAGAGATGTTTCATAAATGTTTAAAGAAAATCTTCTCTGTCAACAAAATTGTCTTTTAAATGCTTGACGTTGCAGTTTCTGGTTACGCAACCCATAGTTTTATCAGGTAACATGAACTTGATGACTGAACAAGTAGGTTGTGTTTTAAAGATGAATGGTGGAACTTGCCTTTTAGGGTGAATCTCACAAAAACGTCACCCCAAAATCAAAAGAAAATTTTTTTTTGCATAAAGAAAATTAGAACCATTAAAGTTATTTGTAATTGTGACATTTTCATGAAAATCTGAAGGGAAATGTGCTTAATTTACACTACTGTAATTATTTAAAAAAAAATGTTTTGCCTATTACTATATTATTAAAAAATAATTTGTGTAATTGAACAATTTATGTAATTTAGTTTAACAGCATAAAAATACAATTTAAAACACACACACACACACACACATATATATATATATATATATATATATAACATTACAGTACATATACACTACAATGCAGTAATGATGATTGTGCTTATTTTTACAATAATGTCAACAATGCAAAAAGAAATCTAAAAATGTTTTGTTTATGCAAAAAAACAAAAAGGTTTTGTGAGATACAGTGGGTACGGAAAGTATTCAGACCCCCTTAAATTTTTCACTCTTTGTTATATTGCAGCCATTTGCTAGATGCGGAACTAAGATCAGCTAAGATCAGTTTTTTGGACTCAAAGGGTTTGAACTTAGGGATTTGGACCGGAAAACTGACCTTACAATGGGCATTTACTGCCTGAGAAGGTTTTTTTTTTTTTTTTACGGACTCCTGTGTCATATTCACTGGAACAGGATCTTTTTGGCCTCAGACATCATCTTTGGCTCACAACTCCACCTTATATTGCCAAATGTGCACAAAAGGAAATGTAAGAAGTGCACAAACTCTCTCTTATGCTACCTGGTGGAAAACCGGTTGGCTTTTGTTTTTGTTCACAGCCTTTTTCTTCTTTCTCTAAATCACTGAAAGCATCTCAGTAACAGCCGTGACTTCTCTAGTCCTGTCAGTGTGTATTAGAAAGAGACAGATGAGCTATGCTTAGAGGCAAGCTAGTAAACCCATAACCACTGTATACACACACACACACACACACGACCTGCATGCTCCTGACCTGGGACTTTTCTAACTCTTTAAAACAATGAGCCATTTTTGTAGGAACGTGAACTGTTTGGCATTAGAATACATGTGACTTAACACTGATAGAACAATAGCTTTATTATGCGACAAGCCACTGTTTTAATTTTTTTTTCCCGAGATGAGATTGTGAGTCTATTTCTCTTCATTTTGGGAAACTGTGCTTCTGATCGTGTCACACGGGGGAATAGGCCGATTCTGTTATCGGATACAGTCATGGATAGGCAATACATCAGTTTACTCCTCTGGTGTGATGTTAGCTATTAGCTCTTACCTGCAGTAAAGTTGTTTGTAACATTGAACTAAGTTTTTGTTGATTTGTTTGATTTTTATATTTATGATTTCATATGTATCCTGTTTTTTAAAGTAATAAAATGGGGGGAAAAATGACAATGTTTCTTCAGATGTGTCAGATGTTCGAACAGACTTCACCCTG